AGGGCGGTATTGTCACTTGCGAAGCGAATGAATTTGGCGAAGCGAACGGTTTGGCGAAGCAAATGGATTGGCGGACGCAACTTAAATATGCATTAAGAGTATTCGCTTTTACCAGCTTGTGCAAGTGTTTCGCATCGCGTACACTTTTAATACCTTCTCTGCCTTTTAATTCGCTTCGCCAAACCGTTCTCTTCGCCAAATTCATCCGCTTCGCAAGTGACAATACCGCCCTTAACAATGCGCCACCGCATGCCTTTAGGCACCACTAACAATGGTTGCCATCAGTCACTCGGCGAAACAGTCTATGATTCTTCAATAGATATTCGGTACTCAGTTTAGCTTTATGTTCTGACGGCACGCTAGCCTTCAAAATATCTATGATATTTTTGATGTTTTCATCTCGCTGTTGCATGGCAGACAGCCAATCTTCAGTAGACAACACAAACAAATTGGACGCCGCTTCGTTGACTTGTGTCATACCTTGAATAGGCGCGCGACTCATTGCGTCGACGTGACTCACACTCAGTCCAGCACGATGTATGATATTGAGATCATATTCTTACAGTTTATGAAACCACTGGCTTCGAAACCTTAGCAGTAGTTATGGACTGACAGTCCGTAATGATACTGAAATGCTTAGGAGGTACATTCTGAAACATTGGCATGATTCGACGACCAATTCATATGCGTGATAATTATTCTCTTGCGAGGTACACGCTCGGCTAAAACAAGCAATGGGCTTTAGTTGTTCATCACCTTCGCGCTGCAAAATAATTGCTGCGATACCCACACTTGACGCATCAGTATGCAATTCATGTACCTTATGAACATCATAAATTGCTAGGTCTGGTGCCTCGGTAACTAATCGTATAAGATGTCGGAATGCTTCTTCACAGCTTGTGTCCCACACAAAAGCTGCATCCTTATTCGTATGTTGAGTGAGTGGCCTTGCGGCTAACGCAAAACCAGGAACAAATTTGCGGAAGAAGCCCGCAAAACCTAGGAAGCGCCTAACTTCTAATTGATTAACTGGGGTCGGATACTCTTTGATCGCTATTGTCTTTAAAACCCCAGGCTTTATGCCATCTTCATTTACTACGTATCCCAAAAATGTTGCTGAACGCTTTAAAAAGTTACATTTTGAAAGGCGTAACGTTAACCCCTCCTCGCCGATAATTTTCAAAAATTTCTCTAAATATAGCAAATTTTCTTCTTCTGTATCCGTAGCTATCACGACCTCATCTACATAGCTAACAACTACCTTCCTCAGCGGTGCTACTAACTGTGCCATCATTTTCTGAAAAACGCATGGGGCATTACGCAAACCAAACGGCATTCGATTAAATTCGTAATGCCCATTATGAGTGACAAATGCAGTGAGAGGTCTGGCCGCTCCTTCCAGCTCGATCGACATGAGATCGAGTGTAGTGAAGAACTTCTTCCCTGACAGAGTCGATAAAACCCCATTGAGAGTAGGCATCAGCCATGGCGACGGCATTTAGTTCGCGAAAATCAACGCACAGTCTATCTTCCCCATTGTGTTTATGAACAGAGGTGGGCACTACCACAAACAAGCGATCGCTAAAAGTGAGAATGTGTTAGTGTTCCTAATTCATTTTGCATGCTGCCGCGTTCTCATCGTTACGCTCTTGCTTGTATACGTATACGTGATGGTTATGCTCTTTGAGCGTGTGCTCGTTCTCTGTCCATGCCTATTTATGAACCAAAACTATTGGCGATGGGTATAGCGAATTCGATTCACGACCTATTCCTAATTCCAACAATTCTTTGATAATATCTTCCACTACGCGTTGTTTTGGTATCGGAATGGAATACGGTTTCTCGCGATTGGCTTCGGCGATTTTAATTTGATACTTATCTTAAAGCGATTTGATTTACCAAGCTCCGGCAGCTTTTCCCCAAAACAATATGAATATTTATTCAACAAGCTAACTAAACCACTCCCGATGTTCGGTTGCACCCCTGCTCCGATGTCTACAGAGCTTTCGATTGTAACAAATCTAAACTTTTTTCAAATCGCATTGCGCTCAGTGTCTTGCGCAAATTTTCGTCCGACAACCCATTTATAATATACCGGATAATGGAACAATCAATGTTTTCCCGTCGCCCTGTTGCTAAAATTTTATAATAGAACTCAACAACACTCTCTGATTTTCCAATTTGCATATTCATTAATCGTACGTGTGCATCAGCCGAATTTCTAACATAAGGGAAATCTTTTAAAAAGGCACTTACAAATTCGCTCCACTGTCTGAACACTGGCTGTGCGTCAGCCCACCGTTTGGCAACACCTTTCAACTTACTGAGGACAGCAAAACCAAGCAACGCATCGTCCCAATTATACACTTGTTTAAGTTGCTCGACTCGTTCAATAAACTGCAGCGACGAATACGTACCGTCACAAGGGTTTAATTCGGGCAAAATTTCTGCTACTTCGGCTGGTGTAGATTTGCGTGTATCCCGTGCTCTTGAAACGTTCGTAGTTTCTCCAGCTCTTATATTCGTTGAAACAAAGTTTGGCGTTGCTTTACTTAGATATGTAGTCGGCGTCGAAATGTTTGTTGCTACTAGGTTTTCAATTGGCGAATTCGTAGTATTTTGTACATCAAACGGCATACTTTGAAATTTAGCTGTTGTTGTTGCACACATTTGAGACAAGTGCTGTTGTGTGACAAACGATGTGCTCTGATGAATTTGCGCATCTGTGACCGACGACATCGGCATTTGCGCAGTCGGCTGCGCCCATAGCTGCGTTGTCCACTGCTGCTGTGTTGAGTTGCTTTGTAACGATGGATATGCGATTGAAGTAGGCGATGAAACATGCGCCGCACCAAGCGCGTTGTTAGCATGTCCATATATATATGTTCGAATCGTGAACCGCTGGACAAAGAGTCTGCAGCTGAGCAGTCACAACTCTACCACGTTACACAATTTGTTGACCTGCATATTAACTCCGACGTTGCCCGTCGATGGCTCCTCGATCCCCCGGTAACGCCTTTCTCCCTTACCATGCTTGATGACGCAATCGCTTCAACAATCGGCCTTACTGATGTCTCCTCCATCTCTTGGAGTCTTGCTACCAGCTCCACTTTGCTCCCATTAGTTCTCTGTTGTAATTGTTGAAGTGCTTCCTTCCATTGCGCGACAGTCAAACGATTAAAATCCATTTTTCCTTATTTGTTCACATCCACTTCTGATACCTGTCACCCAGACAGAATCAGGCTGACCGCTTTATTTGAATGTTATTTCACAACTCAACTACAAATTTCAAGGTGGATGTTATAATGGTAGAATGTGGAATGTATGGAATGTAAACTTAAATAGGGATGGCAATATGTTTCAGTTCGACACAAACCATAAATACAAAATGGATGCAAAATATAATAAAATAGAAATGCAGTGACAAATGTTACCTTGTTAACACGCCATACCAAAGGAGTCGGAACTGACTCTCGTACTCACTCATCTTCTTAGGAATTTACCGCAAAAATAAAACTCCCAGCATTGAACCAATTTCAATTCATTACAGTATTCAGTTTATTTAAAACACAAAAGATTTGCACATATTTTGTATTTTCGTTGTTGATTTCTAACGTATGTTTGTACTTTAAACAAACTTCCGCCTTTCCAAAAATTAAACAAAAACAAATCCTATTTGGAACTTTAATTCCCCTACTCGATACATACAGAAGGATGATTAGGTAGGAGATATGTATCTACTCCTAACGATCTCACTAACCTTATAATTCATATATTCAACCGTTCATATTAAAGGTATGCGGGATTCTTAAACAATTTTAGAATTCCTAAACCAACAGCAAAACGTGATAAAAACAAGTAAGAAAGTCTAAGTTCGGGCGGAGCCGAACATTAAATACCCGGCGCAATTATTAAATATATGTTTTCCACCTTTCCGAAAGCTACCGCTACACGATAAGCCGGGGTGTATAAATTTTAAGTAAATTAGCGTCCTTAAATTTCGAAATATTGCAGTTTCAAGCATTTCTGAAATATACCGTTATATGAAAAGCGGTCGTAATTTTAGTCCGATTTCAATAATTTTCAACGCTTTGCTTCTATGTGGCAAGCACAATAACCATACCGAGTTTGGTACAAATTGGTAGAACGGTTACCGAGATACATATATGTGATCATAAGTGGGCGGTGCCACGCCCATTTTCCAAAATTGTATCATAAGCGTATTTCTTGGTAAAAAATTGTTGCAACCATCAATTTTGAATAAATTAGCTTTAATATTTACTGATTTATCGAGGATTTCGTATTTTTCTAAATTACCGTTATATGGGATGTGGGCGTGGTTATTGTCCGATTTTAAAAATTTTCGGTCATTTGGTATGTTGTAGCAGGACCAACAACTGTGCCAAGTTTGGAAGAAATTGGTGCAGCGGTTACCAAGATATACACATGTAACCATAAGTAGGCGTGGCTACGCCCATTTGCCAAAATTTTTTAATATTCTTATTTTTCGTCTAAAACTCATTGTAAATATCAATTTTGAGTGAATTATCTTTAGTAGTTACTAAAATATCGCACTTTTCGTATTTCTGAAAATTACGGTTATATGGGAGGTAGGCGTGGTTATTGTCCGATTTCGCCCATTTTCAATACCGTCCGTCCTATGCCCAAAAGAAGTCCACGTACCAAGTTTCGTTAAGATATCTCAATTTTTACTCGAGTTATCGTGTGCACAGACGGACGGACGGACAGACAGTCACCGCTTAATCGATTTCTCTTTTCATTCTGATCATTTATGTATACATTTGTCTATGTCTATCTCGATTCGTTTTGCCTGTTACAAACAACCGTTATGTGAACAAAGTTATAATACCCTTGTGCACAAGTGCGCTCGGGTATAAAAATGGAAAACCAAAGGCATGTACATACATATGTATGTACATCATATATACATTGTATTCGAAACAACAGTAACATCACATTCCGCAACGAGAGAAAAGCTTATCTCAGTTTATGGACTTGCACTTGCAACTGGAAAATACTGCTAAGCTTTACTCAGTTGCCAAAAGTAATTTTGTTTGAAAAACAATAAGAGCCAGTAAAGAAAAATATTAGCTTTGTATAGTTACTTCCCCAGTAAAAAATTGCAGCGAGAGCGTAAAAGCAAAATAGAGCGTAAAATTGACAAGAAGAGAAAACTAGCAGAAAAAGTTACTGAACACAAGACTAGTAAGAATTTGCAAGTGAACAGTTGCTGCACTGTTTTGACATTTCTTTTGAGGTTAAATTTTTGTGCACATTGTTATACATACATATTTGCAAACCGAACGCGTGCAAATGGGAAAAATTACGCTGGAGGTGAAATGCTCACCGGGAACAATAAAAAGGATAGAAACCAGTAAGTATAAACATTGAATTAATGTACTTAATGTTCACTTATAATTTTCGTATCATGTATTTAGATGCTGAATATCAACAGGAGGTACTCGCCCAACTCTTTCTGGAAGAACCCTTCGACGAAGTAAGGTTCTCTCCGTCTCAACCAGTAAGTATTATTGTACATTATTCACAAATTTTAATATGGGTTTTTAAAAATTTGATTTCTTATTAAGGGCTTTGAATCAGTTGGTTTTCTTGGACGCAGCGGCAGTCACGTTGCAGCAAAAGTAAGTGGATTACATATGTAGATACATAGCTTCATATTAATAAAAATTGCCTGTTTATATTCCATTCGGATAGAGTATTGAATCGTATGAATTGTTTGGAAGCGGTTGCGGTGGTGTTGGAGCAAAAGTAAGTGGGTTTTCTTTATATATGTACGCATGTACAATGCAAAATTTCATATTAGTAACAGTTTTTTTTTTTACTTTTGACAGAGTGTTAAATCCTCTAGAGTGCTTGCAAGCGGTGGCAGTGGTGGCAGTGGTGATGGGCCAAACGTAGGTGGGTTTTATTTGTATCTACATACATAGCCTCATATTACTAAAAATTTCCTGTTTTTATTGCATTTGACAGAGTATTGAATCCTGTGAATTGTTTGGAAGCGGTTGCAGTGGAGATGGATCAAATGTAAGTGGGTTTTCTTTACATATATACTTAAGCACATAAATTCATATTACTAAAAATTTCTTGTGTTTATTACATTTCACAGAGTATTGAATCCTATGAATTGTTTGGAAGGGGTTGCGGTGGTGATAGAGTAAAAGTAAGTGGGCTTTCTTAACATACATATCTGTATTCGTATGGAATAGTAGCTTATGTCGAAATGCTGGCTTTAGTATAATGCAGCATTCACAGCATACGGTTGCGAATGACTCACGGGCGTCGAACCGTTGAAGAACTCTTGCCAAATAAACGTGAAAGATATAGTTCCTAGTATCGGAAGTCAATATTCTTATTAAGTCTCATTAAAAGATTCCTTATGATTTAAAGAATAAAGGGAAAGTCAGCCTTTGGACATAAGCTACTATTCCATACGAACGCAGATATGTATATACTTAACTTCATATTAATAACAATTGTTTGTTCTTTTTACATTTGACAGAGTGTTAAATCCCCTAGATTTCTTGGAAGCGGTGGCAGTTGAGTTGGAGCAAAAGTAAGTGTGTTTTCTTTATATATGTATATATGTGCACACATAATTTCATATTAGTAACAATGGTTTTATTTTTACATTTTACAGAGTGTTAAATCCTCTAGATGTCTTGGAAGCGGGGGCAGTGGTGTTGGAGCAAAAGTAAGTCGGTTTTCTTTATATATGTACATATGTATGTACATACATAATTTGTTTGTTTACATTTGACAGTGTTTGACAGTGGTGATGGACCAAAAGTAAGTGGATTTTCTTTATACATATACTAGCTTATACCCGCGGCTTTCACCCCGCGCTTTTATAGAAATATGAAAAATAATTTAATGATGTTAGATTTTATTTCTGTGCCCATTTCGTGATAGCTCGTTATTTTTAAGCGAGTTAAGGTATTTAGGTCGTTTAAAACTATGAAATTATAAAATCTCGTCTGCGCGCTAGGCATACGAAAGATATCAATCCCTCTAAGTTTACCTTAAAATGTTTCCAGGTATACGACGCGTGAACATGTAACCTTCTTGGAGGTGGCACGGCGAGTTCTAATATTTCCAACTCAAATTTAGTAACCTGGCCTTGATAAAATATCACTTCTCATTACTGTAGCAAATGCCTCAACAGAGCTTTAGATTATAAGGTCGAACCCGGCTCCCCCTTTTCCATTTAATGAAATTTATGCCCCTATTACGGTTTACAACTCAACTCCATTTCAGTTGAAAACTTACAATTTGGTATTATCGATAACAACTCAACCTGTCAAAAAATGTTTGGTTGTATTTATATCGTCTTACAACTTTTTTGTGGTATTACCGTTTACCACCCTGTGCTAGTTCGGTTGACAAAAGTATCGAAAATCGACAACTCATTACTAGCAGTTGTTTTGAACAAATTTTTAAGCGAAAATGGAAAGCGGGTAATTAAATTTTTTTAATTTGTCTTAAACCAATATCTTAATCAGGAATTTCTTACAAATTTGTAGAAAAAATAAACTTACAACGAAACAACAGTTTGAAAAACTAGTTGAGCTGATGGAGAAGCATCCCGAAACTGGACGAGGCAAGCCGCAATTTGGAAGCAGCAAAAGTAAAAGCAAGGGATTGTGGGAGCAATTTGCCATAGAGCTAAACAGTTTAGGACCACCAACAAGAACTGCGCACGAGTGGGGACGAGTAAGTAGTAATCATGGAATTAGACCAATACAATGAAAGCGCAATAATTTATTTCTCCTGTAGGTTTGGATACACTATAAGGCAAATTTAAAAAGGAAGCTTGCCAACAATCGCAGCAATATTCTTGCAACTGGTGGTGGTCCGTCGCAAGAGGTTTCTTTAAATCCACTAGAAGAAAGTGTTGCGGAACTTATTCAGATAAGGGAACAAGTTGCACCCAGTGGCCGGGCGTTCGGGGTAGAGAATATACCACCGGTGATGGATGGCGAAGAAATAGAAGACGGCTTAGTTGCAGCTTCGTCAATGGTTGATGAGCCCCAGGTAGCAAACATTGAAGATCGGCCCTCTTCGTCAGCATCGCGTGTACAAAATCGCCGCAGAAGCTGCAATTTAGAAACTGAGCGTCTAGAGCTCCTAAAAATGCAGGCAGAAACGCAAAAAGAGGTACTAAAAAAAATTGATAGAATTGAAAAGACGGCGTACAAAAATTACGACATTAATAAAAAATTGCTGCACATAAAGCAACAAAAATATAAATTGTTTGAAAGGCAGGCTAGGGAAGCCCATGAACTACATTTGTTGAAGGTAGAGGTTGAGCAATTAAAAATAGCTAAATTAAGAGGCTATTTGCAAGACGAGAACAGCTCGTGAATGGAGAACTGATGTTTATTTGACAAAAAATGAAAGGGCTTTAATTTAATAATTTGAAATATTTTTTAATTTAATTTTACAACATGAAGTAATATTTTTTTTTTATTAATTATAAGTTTTGCAATCCCTAATTTTAAGACCATATGAAGTGATATTTTTTTTTAAATTAACTATTTTGAAAAACCTAATTTTAAGAGCACATGAAGTGATACTTTTTTAAATTAACTATTTTGAAAAACCTAATTTTAAGAGCACATGAAGTGATTTTTTTTTAAATTAACTATTTTGAAAAACCTAATTTTAAGAGCACATGAAGTGATACTTTTTTAAATTAACTATTTTGAAAAACCTAATTTTAAGAGCACATGAAGTGATATTTTTTTAAATTAACTATTTTGAAAAACCTAATTTTAAGAGCACATGAAGTGATACTTTTTTAAATTAACTATTTTGAAAAACCTAATTTTAAGAGCACATGAAGTGATATTTTTTTAAATTAACTATTTTGAAAAACCTAATTTTAAGAGCACATGAAGTGATACTTTTTTAAATTAACTATTTTGAAAAACCTAATTTTAAGAGCACATGAAGTGATATTTTTTTAAATTAACTATTTTGAAAAACCTAATTTTAAGAGCACATGAAGTGATACTTTTTTAAATTAACTATTTTGAAAAACCTAATTTTAAGAGCACATGAAGTGATATTTTTTTAAATTAACTATTTTGAAAAACCTAATTTTAAGAGCACATGAAGTGATACTTTTTTAAATTAACTATTTTGAAAAACCTAATTTTAAGAGCACATGAAGTGATATTTAATGAATATTAAATATAAGTTATTTAACCATTGAAAATAAAAGAAGACTGAATGAAGTACAAATAATTAAATGTGAGTTAGAGTTTTTTATTTCTATTAAATGGATAACAAAATATTATTGCGAATTCTTCTGGCGGCATCCTCGTCTTCTGTTTCAATGTTCAGGTTTTCATTGCTTATTTCCGTACTTGAAGCGGTTGCAATTTCTTCAGAAAGTTCCACGCGAAAGTGTTGACAAATATTATGCAAAGCGCAGCAAGCGTTCACAATTTGTGTAGATTTTGCTGGTGAATAATGTAAGCCACGCACAGATAAAAGACAACGAAATCGGCTTTTCAATATTCCAATCGTCCGTTCTACAATATTTCGAGCCTTAGAGTGTATTGTATTGTAGCGAGCTTGTGGTGAACCAGCTTCTGCCATGCGGAAAGGAGTCATTAAAAAAGTTTGTAGAGGGTAACCAGCGTCGCCTTTAAGGAATATTTTAAACAATCTATTTTTGTATTAAATACTAATGACCAGTCTTACCTAAAATCCAGGAATTACTCTGTATGTTTCTCTGCAGATGCTCTTTCAAATCGCTTACGTTAAAAACAAAGGAATCGTGATTTGCGCCCGCGTGCCTAGCATCCACATACCGGATAGCCATTTTGTAATCGCAAAGCTTGAAATCGAAATAGATGTCATGACCATTTTCTTTTAAAGTATTATTTGCTTTTTACATTTTCACTTACAATCATGACGTTTAAACTGTAGTAGCCTTTCCTGTTTAGATAAAGATGTTGCATTTCTTTTTTTGGTGAAATGATGCGAACGTGAGTCCCATCGATACAACCCACTACTCCGGGGAATCCGCTTTTTGAATAGAATGCAATTTTTGACGCGTTTTGCTCCTCTTCAGTCATTTGGGTTGTAATCCATTTTCCACAAATATGCTGCTCAATTATATTTAAAACCTCCTTAATAACTACAGATATTGTAGGTTGCGCCAGTCCAACATTGAAATCATTTCCACTGCAATTTTGGTAACTGCCGTCAGCAAGGAACCTGAGAGTTGCACATAATTTCAATATTGGAGGTACAGCCGTTCCTCGCACACGTTTCTGGAAATGTTCATCCATCTCGTTTAGCAAAAAGACAAATGCTTCCTTATTTAAACGAAAGTAGCTTATGAATCTGCAAAAAAACATTATTAAAATGCCATTCAATTGTCGCTACAATTTTTCTTACTTGGTGCTTGGAAGTTCCAAAGGATTCGAGTGATCACGAAGCCTTTTCCGTATGCGCAGCACATCAGTTTTGGGACCAACATTTTCATCGTTGTAAAATAAATCAACGCTTATGTCCATTTTACTTTTTATTTGAAAAAAAAACACTCTCTCGTAAACCTTAAGTACAGTATATTGTTTTAATTTTTCGCCACAAAATCATCAGCTGTTTAATTATCTGTCAAATCGTCACTTTTTTAGGTTAGCAACATCAATACAACTTCAACTGAAGTGAGTTGTAATTCGTAATGCCAAAAAAGAGTTAAGTTGTTTTAAAGTTGAGTTGTTTCAATTTCAATTCAACTGAGTTGAGTTGTAAACCGTAATAGGGACTTTATTCTGTCAGTACGGCACTTATAAAATAAATCTCCATAACAAATTTAAAATACTTCGAGAGATTTTCTATCCTTCCAGAGATATGTATTAAGAAGTTTTTAGCATGTATGGGAGGCGACATGCCTCCTTTTTTAATAACTCACATTTTTTACATGAGCAATTGATACATTTTGTATACACAACTCCATACAAAGTTCCAGTATTCTTCCACAAACACTTCCAGGGATATGTGCCAAGAAAAAGTAAATTTGTACTGGAAGTGCCACGACCCTTTTTCTTATAACCCTAATCTTCTTCATGAATTTAGAATTGATTTTACATACCCCAGTCCAAGTCCCAGTACTCTACCATGAACACCTCTAGAGATATGCAGTATAAAACAGTAAATTTGTACGGCAGAAACCATGTCCCCTTTTCGAATAAGCAAATTCATCTCCATGAGTATGGAATTAATTTTGTATACACATCTCGGTGCCAAGTTCCAGCCCTTTGCAATAAACACCTTCAGAGATATGCAGCATAGAAAAATCAATTTGCATAGGAGTTGCCACACCACCTTTTCCAATAACTCTCATTTTTCTCCATGAGTATGGTATTAGTTTCACATACATACATACATATTTATTTCCATACCAAACTTGAGTGCCTTACCCCAAACATTTGAAGAGATATGCAATATGAAACTTTCAGTCAGTATGGGAGCCAATTTTCTAAAAACGTCCATTTTTCCCCGTGAATATGAACATGATTTCACACAGTGTTGGCAAACTGTTAATCTGATTAACGATTAAAAATTAACTATTAAAATGTTAATCGCGTTTGACGATTAAAATTAATTAGTCGTAATAACTGTACGATTAATGATAACATTTTTTTTAATCGTTAATCGCTGGCTGCGATTACGTTTAATTAATTTAAAACATTAATCGTTAATCCAATTAAAAATAAAATCTGATTAATTTGTCTAGTTTGTCCGAGTTTGAAACCAAACACCAGTTATAGTAATTATTTTGTGTTTTACGCGTATAAAAAGCACATAAAATAAAAAAATTATAATTATTGTTATTAGTAATACATAAGCTGGGAACTTTTACAAACCTAGTTTGCAAAACGTTTGCTGGTATATATCGTAATGAAAATGCACACCAAATTGCTTAGATTGACGAGGAAATCCGACTTAGCCATACCGGATTAACTTGCTTTGTGTGCACAGGGAAATTCCAGCATAACTTAATTAATCACCAAACCTACTTGATCAAATTAAGAGTTAATGATTAAAAATTAATTTTTTAATCGCGGTTTCGATTATTTGTTTAGTCAGATTAAAATTAATCATGATTAACTGTAATCAGATTGAATTTAATCGAATTAACTAACTGATTAAAACATCAATCGATTAATGCCAACATTGATTTCACATACATATCACTATACCAAGTTTCAGTTCTCTCCCACAAACTGAGCGTTGTATGTAATATGAAAATTCCAATTTGTATGGGAGGGGCCCTGAGTTATCGGACTTACTTTCAGTCTAAGACCATCCTTCCGAAATCCGTAGTAAGTGTACTAAATTTTGTTCTGATCGGAAAACCGGTTAAGGAAGTAGCCTATTATTCAATCCAGGTCATAAACCATCTTTGAGCAAAATTTATTTTCAAACAGGTGGAAATTCTTAAAAAAGTAGCCTATTTTCCAGTCTAGGTCATAAGCTATCTGTGTGCAAACTTTCATGCAAATCAGTTCAGTCATTTACGCGTATTAATATAATTAAACTTTCCTAATTCGTGATAACTCTTAAAATAGTAGCCTATTTTTCAACATAGGTCATAAGCTATCTCTGTGCGAAATGTGATGCAAATCTGTTCAGTCGTTTCCGCGTATTAATTTAATTAAAACTTTTTTAACAGGTGGCAACTCTTCCAAAAAATTAGCCTATTTTCCACAATTTCCAAAATTTCATGCAAATCCGTTCAGACTTTTCCGCGTATTAATTTAATTAAACTTTTTTAACAGGTGGTAACTCTTAAAAAAAGTAGCCTATTTTTCAACCTAGCTCATAAGCTATCTGTGTGAAAACTTCCATGCAAATCAGTTCACTCATTTCCGCGTATTAATTAAATTAAACATTTCTAACAGGTGGCAACTCTTCCAAAAAAAATTAGCCTATTTTCCACTGTAGGTCATAAGATATCTGCTTGCAAAATTTCATGCAAATCCATTCAGTCGTTTCCGCGTATTAATTTAATGAAACTTTTTTAACAGGTGGCAACTCTTAAGAAAAGTAGCCTATTTTCCAATCTAGGTCATAAGCTATCTGTGTGCAAATTTTGATGCAAATCCATGCAGTCGTTCCCGCATATTAAATAAATTAAACTTTTTTAACAGGTGGCAACTCTTAAAAAAATAGCCTATTAACCAATCTGGCCCATAAGCTATCTGCGTACAAAATTTCATGCAAATCAGTTCAGTCGTTTCCGCGTGATGATTTCCCAAACATCCAAACATACAAACTTTCACATTTATAATATTAGTAAGATTAGTAAGATAAGATAGTAAGATTTACATATCGCACACCGTCTTCAAAAGAGTCACAACTCA